CAAATATCTACGTGCCCTGTCGTAGAACGTATCATCTCGAAGATAATGTTGTCCTTCGAAGAAAAATAAAAACGATATCTCCGCTTGTACAATTAAATATCCGTAATTCGATTCAATAAAAGAATTGGTCAAGATGCACGTAATGCCAATACCGGTATGAATGTCGTCAGCTTTCTAGATTTTGATCCACATGGCGATGATGGTGTTACTATCGCAAATGTTCGTGTTTTTTTGCTAGCCCAATACATGTCCATGGCCAAGGGTCTTGACCTTGACAGCGGATATGTATTGGGCTTTAGCTCTTTGAGCCAAGACCACGTCGAGGTTAGCACCAAAACTTGAAGTACAGCAGCAGCGTGAAGAAGATCTGGTAGATTTTGTGCGATATAGCACATTCTGTCAGAGTGTATCGATCTACCATGTTGGATGTACTGCATGTTCATGCCATAATGATAGTCGTTAGATGTAAGTACCGGTACATGTATTGCAACACCGCGATATTTTCCCGATCTAAGCGGAAAAGCTTAGACTATCATTCACACGCTGTATTTATGACAGATCTAAGTACTAGCACAACATTTTTGAGGAGTACTAAGCTTGCATAGTACTAAGCTTGCATAGTACTCATAAAAAATACACGTCTAAACTTGGACTAAGATTGCATAAATTTTTTAACCTTTGTTCCTCAGGAAGGAATGGTAATTAAAAAGTAGCTTAAATGTATGTGAAGGCTGTTGTAGCTGTGGATTTATAATATAAAAGCTGCCTTCACACAGAAGATCTCCTCCACGCTCAGTACCCTTTAGCTAAGCTACTCATTTACAATGGCACACCGGTAGATGTGTTCAGAAAATGATGCTGGACGAGACGATCCTTTTATGCATACGTAGAGCGTTTTCTAAACCGCTAACTTCTTGGTTCCCGACGTCGTAAGCTACGACGACACATTTTATTATGTCGTAACTTACGACATAGCGGAAACAACAACAAAAATCGTTCGGAAACAGAAATCCAATACTTTAATCGAGTCATTTCAAAATAATAAAGTCCAACAGTTAAATGAGAAAAAAACAAAAAAACGAGCCAGAAAGCGGGAACGCTGGGATGCGCGGGAAAATATCCCGCCGCCACTTAGTGACCCACACCCAGAGACGACTCATTATGGATTTTGCCCGATAGCGCGCATTCGGTCAGAGAACCGCACGAGAACAGACGCCGTTACTGCGGTGACACGGAGCACCGACTTTGGACACTTTTGGAGGCAATTAAGAGCAGTGGGGTGGAAGTACAAGCGACCGAAGAGGATTCAGACAAATGGAAAATATGTAAGTGCAGATGGCTCGAAAGAATTGGTTGGAGAGGAGGCTGTGGCTGCGTACGCGTTCGAAACATGATTGTTGGACGAGGAGGCGATTGTTGATGAAGGTAATGGTACCGACAAAGAAACCATCGCCGCTGAAAAGACCATAGCTGCCATCGACAAGACATTCGCTGCCGCGCCTCTGCTGCCGAGAAGACCGCATCTGCCGCTGCCTCGGATGCTGACAAGACCGTTGCTTCCGTCACCAAGATGGCCGTTCCGTCAAGAAGACAACCTCTTCCGTTGCTTCCGCCGACGAAACATCCGTCACCAAGACGACTGTTGCCGACGAGAAATCCGCTGCTAGTGTCAACGAAACCCTTGCAGCCGCCGACGACAACGCCAACAACACGTCGGACGCATTTGACGATGTACGTGCGACGCAGATTGATACAAGCACCGATCTGTCCTAGAGGACCATGAATGAGCTCTTTGGTACTCCCAGTAGCTGTAGCAGCTCTGACCCAGAGCGTGGGTAAAGATTGATACAGAAACGAGCCGGTATGGCCTTCAGCAGGTCAACTGGCGGGCGGAGCGAATACATGCGAAGCATAACGATCGGCGGCGGGAAACTGTCAAGCAAATCAGTCGGCGGCTGAAGGCGAAGCCCGGATACGAGACGCACGAGATTTTGCACGTCATCGGGCACTTAACAGCGCGTATGCTTTGTCCACAAAGGCGACGGTTTGCGCCTCACTGGTCGATGGTGGAGGACGAAGCCGTTTCCGCTGGAAATTTTGGAAGGTTCATGGGACGCAATAGATGCCAAAATATCTTGCGTGACTTGCACTTCGTGAACAATGAGGCGGAACGTACACGGGACAAATTGCACAAGGTGTGAATGGTTGCAGATACGTTGCAAGATCGCTTTCTGGTTGCGTGGACTCTACCTGCTGTGTTCTCCTTTGACGAAGGCGTACTACCTTCCACTTCTAAACGAAACACGACAAGAATGTTCATGCCCGATAAGCCTCATCGATACGGGTCAAAAATCGGTATGGTGCGTAATTCAAGAACTGCGTATTTGCACAGGTATTTCCAGTTATCAGTATGTCGTAAGTTACGTCTTAAGTAACGTGTCTGACCGATTATGTCGTATGTTACTAGCTTCGAGCTATATACGGGCAGGCGCAGAGCTGGAGACGGCGAAAACGCATCATTTGATCAAAGGCCGGTGCATCTGCAGTCGCTCGGAATTGGAAGACTGTGCTTGGCCCCAACACGCGAAACTCATGGCACGCAGTCGTTATTGACCGCTTTTACTCGTCAATTATTCTTGCCATAGAGCTATTGGCGATGCAGGTGTACGTAATTGGTACTATCATGACCAACCGGCTCGGATATGATGCGCATATCAAAGATGAGCGCAAGTCACGCCCAGCTAGTATACCCCGGGGCACGTTCACGCTCTCCCGCTCGGTGGCCATTCCCAACATGATTTCACTGGTGGGACCAGAAACCTGTGCACGAGTTCTGCACAGGCTCCGCAATGACAGAGATGACGATTTCCAGAAACATCAAGCGGGTTGCAAAATCCGCTCCCTGTCCAGAAGCTGTGACCGACTACTAACGTTGGATGGGCGGAGTTGACGTGCATGATCAACTCCGCCTACAAACGTACTCGTTGCAGATGACCACTAAGTTCAAGAAGTATTACAAGAGTCTATTCTTGGGCTTCGTGGATCTAGCCCTGGTTAATGCGTATATTTCGCACAGGGAGTCAGCACGTATTACTGGGGCGCAAATAATGAAACGATTAGAGTGGTACGGAGTCCTGCAGAACCAATTGCTGCAGCTGAAGGCGGAGGATTTCGCAGGTATAATGGCCACACCACCACCAAGCAGCCAGAAAGCAAAGCGTCCCCAGCTACGGCTCGCGCATGCAGCGGAGAAATCGGATGACTGGGTGCCTGTTACAGGCGCTCAAAGGCGCCGACAGCGGTCGTGAAAGGTCTGTGCGCTCCTGTGCTCGGATCGTAAGAAGAAGTATTTCGCTACGACGTTCTTTTGCGAGCGTTGCTTTATTGATGACGCGTAGTGTTGGCTGTGCAATAAGATACGACACCAGTATAAGGGAATCGCCAAAACGTGCTTTGAGATCTGGCACGACGACTTCGATTGCGGCCAAAACATACCCGCTACCCTAGTCAAAAGGGTTGTACTGCGGCGGTCGGGTTAGACCCTGAGCAAAAGGGTTGTACTGCGGCGGTCGGGTTAGAAGGCTGGTGCACACAAGAAGACCCGCCGAGAGCTGCCACTTGGTGAAGGGGAAGACGGCGACGATGGAAATGAGACCGGAGAAGAGTAGGCATTCTCTGTGCGACATAAAAAAAAGTGTGAGCTTTTGTTCGATCGTAGCACAGCTTTCTTGTATCTTTGCACGTTCTGCACTGTCTTTTTTGTTTGTTTGGATTCATAAATCAGCTCGCTGCACCACTTATACTCAGATCTGGAGCAGATCTGCCCGCTGTACTTTCCAATTTGAGGTAGCTTACCACATCCGGTGTTCTCTGCTAGCTGCTACACGGTAGAAATTACGACTTCTTGGCGAGATACCTCTCAAAAATTTATACACCTATCCGCAAGTCAAACATCTGCCACATACAAACAAGCAGTGACATGGATACGTCGTATTTTACGTCTTAATTTATATCGTTTTCGATACCCTTCGCCGGGAACCAAGGGGTTTAGAGTTCTCAAAGCTCTCTAACGTCGACAATGCCACCCGCTAATAAGGGACGGAATCACGTCGGGAACAGGGAAACGGCTCTCGTTTAGCTGCCCCCAAGCAAGTCACATTATTAGTACCGAGTGCGGATGAAAAGTGCGGATTATTTCCACGTGTGAAATGGCGACAAGCTGACAAATGAAACATTTGGCGGGACCCCGGGGTCCTATCTGGACCCCGGGGCTCTCATCTCAAACCGGTAATACTCGGTACGTGTATATTATTTATTACCATGTTGCTCAACCCTCCTACTTCCGCTGCGAGCTAAAGAGCTGTAGGATGGACGGTTGGTTTGACCGCAGCGATGTTTCTTTTCTTTTTCTAGGCCATCCTGGATTGCGTTTAGCCGATGGGCTGGGGCCTGCAGCAGGTGCAGCAGAAGATTCGCCGTCGGTCTGCACAACTCGCGCATTCGCAATAGCTCCAGGTACGTCTGGATAATAACTGAGGTACTGTTTTGGGATGGAGAAGTACTTCGCTGAGAGCGATTTCTGTTTTTTTTGCTGACAGCTCTTTCTTGGGGTGTCGAGGAAACTGTACACTGGATAGTGAAGCCTCCCAAATACTATGAGCGTTTGATCCAAATAGCCCCGACAACACTGCATTCTGGATACGACTGCTATCCACCATAGCAAAAACGATAGTCTCATCATCCGGCGTGCTTACCGTCTTCCGAGCAGTGCATATCCCTTTGTCAATTTCAAAAAGATAATTTGCTGTGTAGCCTGCAGGTGGAGGCGTAAAATATTTAGCGAGAAGAGTTCCCCATTCGACGAAAAATGGGCGATCAGGAGCATTGTGGTCGATAAATGCTCCATTGACACTTTTAACTTCATTCACCTTTTCAACCAAATTCATTGGTGTGTACAAATCGAGGCCGCGGGTGGCGCGGCGACACCAAGCTATGATATTTTATGCGAGTGACCAGGTAGTAGGAAGCACAATACTACCTTCTTGTAGGGAAAAATAATCGACAGCATTGCAAAAAACATCATCACCACTTTGGATTTGTTTTGACCAACGCAGTAGCCCAGCAAACTGAAACTCACTTCAGCTGCAGGAACTCCATTGCATGCATTGCGTTGAATAGTTTTTAAATGGTACAAAAGACGGAGACTGCAGAATGCATCTGCATTTTTGTCTTGGCCACGTTCATCATAGAAATACACGTTGTTGATTCCGTGGGTTATGTCCGCAACGACAAAGTTTTGAATCATCAAATTGCTGTTGAAATAGTCTGCAGACGGACGGGAATGGCCGTAGTACGGCATCGAAATTCCTCCACCATAATCCATGCTTGTTCCTGTACACGACAGTGTACATGTTCATCACCCTCAGAACGAATTTTAACACCGGGCATGGTATCAACGGTGTCCGGAATAATCTCATTCGGAATCGACTGGTCAGGTGCATGTAAAGTGATGTATCCTTTGATAAAGGAAGAAATAAATCGGCGCTGGACGATGGCTTCGTCGATGTGTGTTTTTTTCTCGAGTAAAATTGCTTGTTTCTCATCCTCCGGTAGATCGGGTTGTTGATATAAAATATCGAGGTGAACACAGCAGTCACGAAGATCCTCAGCGGTTCTCGTAAGTCTCACGCCAGGGTAAATGTAATGAACGTACTGTGTAAAGCGAGAGTAGCTCATTGTTCTTGCGTCTGGGTGCTTACGCCTTTCGTCTTCTTCTTCATAACGAGAATGGATAACTTTCCACGTGACCTTGGGCTCGGTAAGGTACTGCCGCGGTTTGCGGTGTGCGCACGGAAAGCCATCCTCCAATATCCAAGTCGAACAATGTGTCTTAAAATGTTCGATAACTTCGTCACTGTATGCATGAGATGGGGCTAAAGGTTCGCGTCTGGCATGAAAGTTTTCAACACCGGTCTCTTGCATTTTCTTCAGTCTTGCTATACGACTGCCGCCTACAGGAAGAATCGCTTTAATTACACGCTCCGATAGACCCTGCCGCAGTAGTTGTAGCACAACACCCTCCGATTGTTGTCCCAGTCTTTCCTCATCTTCACAACCGTTTCTTCTCCTAGTAGCTGTACAGCACGAGAGTACGCAGCTGATTTCCTGTCTGTACCCTTTTTTCTCTTTCGAAGCGGCCTTGTCAGCTCGGACCCACCACCGTGAGGTCTACCCATCGCGGTCAGAGAAATAGGAGCTCTTCTTGGTTTGCGTCAGCTATGCAGACATCGGAGGCAACCAAAAATAAATAATTCTCAATTCCGAAGGTTTTTTTGCGGGACCCCGGGGTCCCGCCAATTGCTTCAAATGCTCGTGCTAATAATAAAAGAAGTGACCAAATATATAGTTATTGTAAAACCACGAAAAAGCTTTTTTGAAGAACCGGATATGAACACCAAATGTAGCTAGTCATCCAAACCGATTTTTTTTAATTTTATGTAGCTATAGCGCGTGACTTAGTTCGCCGTAGGAAGAAAATGTCTGCGCTGAAAATGAAGCTGTACACTACTACATGTATCTGTAAAATCATCGATGTCGATCGCAGATGATGAGCACAAGGGCCTCCAGCGATGGTGTTCTAACATCAATTTAGCCTCCTGGCAATCTTACGATCGTGCCGGCTTCACTGAATCATTTAAATATCATTTATCGATTCTGCCCTTTACAAACGTTTTCCACGGGGTGGGTTCTCGATTTACCGGTATAAAAATCGAGGTTATAAAAAGGGATAGACCGATCTACAGTTACTGTAGTTGAAGCAGCGCTCGTAATCGATTTACGACAAGTCGACGTCGACATACATGCATATCAATTAAAACGCGTGCACGTTATAATACCGGTAATGCCAGGTCTGCCTTTTCTAATCTCAGTTTTACGCCTGTTTTTATGAGGCCATAAAACCGAGCTGAATTTCTTCTGCAAAGCACAATATATGTACTGTACATGCTTTTCGGCTAATACAAGTTGTTTACGCATGTACATCGGCAAGCAAGCTCTTTTATCATTTTGCCAATCTCTTAAAGTCTTGAGACGATGCAATTTAAGACGAATTAGATATGTACACAGCCTTGCCACAAAATTCGTCCAAGCTGTTGTGGCGAGGATATAGAAATACGGAGGGTCATCTGTTTTAATGACAAGTTGTTTACGGGTGAAGTGCATCAGCTTCCAAACTCTTTGCATTATCTTAAGAGCTCTTAAGCTGTAGGTTAACGAGAAACTCACGTGACAATGCATCACTATCATCTCATATTGTTGACAATGGCTGCTCTTCTCGGCATATGCACCGGGGCCACCGTATCCACCGACTCGACGATAGCGGCGGCAGACGTACCTGTTGTTGGCTTGTCCACTAAAAAGCCCTATGGTGTCACTGCCAAGAGGCCGACGAAAGCGTCTGCAGCCACAAACACCGGCAATGAAGATAGGGGCAACGCTGCTAATTTGATGCAAGCTGGGACATCAAAGCTCGATGATCTTGTCACGTCCGCGAATTTAGAGACGTTCAAGTTTTTGGTGAACAACTTGCAGCTTGGTGATGACTTCGTTGCTTCTCTGAGAAGCTCGCAGCTGAAAAATCTGAACACATTTCACTCGAGTAACCGGAGAACTAGGGACTCAGAAAAACACATATCATTGATTGCACCACTTACTGCAAAGTACGGGGATGATGCAGTAGCAAAAGCACTTGTGAAACTAGAGCGGGACACGAATACGCCTCCAGAAATGGCTACACTGGTACAGCAATTGCGGAGTGAACAACTGACATATTGGCTACAGAACGGCATATCTGGTTACGATGTTTTCAAACTACTAAAGCTGGAAGACGACGGCTACGAAGCTCTTCACCGTCTCAAGTTTCAGGCTTTAGAAGACTACATCACGAAAATTAACTCGGAGAAATCAGCAGGTGAAACGATGCTTAACGTCTTGACTAAAGCCTTTGGGGACGAGAGCAAATTGGTGCCGCTTATCGAGACAGCGAAGTCCAGACGGCGTTCGATGATGAAGGGTTTCGAATTGGAAGCGGCTTTACTGGCGAAGTGGCGGAGCGATGATTTACCACTGAATGAGATCTGGGTACGGCTAAAGATCGGCAACAATGTGTATGACGCTTTGAAAAGTGCGGAGCTGAGACTGTTCTCCAAGTACGTTTTCAAGTACTACCCTACCAATGAGAAGGCGGTGGTTGAGATGCTAATAGCAACATACGGAGACGTTCGCGTGGCAACGGCGCTCGGAATAGCCAATACGAAAGCGACCACAGCGGATATAGCGGCAAAGTTACAAGTGCAGCAGCTAGAGGGATGGCTTTCGAGTCAGAGATCCGCTAATGATGTCTTCAAATTGTTAAAGATCGAAGAGGATGGGTTACGTTTTGTAAACAGCCCGAAATGGGAGATTCTGTCCGAGTTTATCAAGGTATTCAACTCCAACAAAAATCCCGAAGACATGACGGACATGTTCACGGTGTTAAGGAACGTTTATCATGACGATGGTAAGTTTGTTCTTATGCTCACTAAAGAACAGACGTCGGGTGCTCCACTGATAGCCAAAACGGCCATACAATATCGGGATGTGCTGCTTGAGGAATGGATTCGAAGTGATATTAAGCCGACGGATATCTACCGGAAGTTTTTCAACGGAAAAGAGGGTATTCAGGAAAAGAAGATTGTAGCCCGATACACGGAATATTACGACGAGGAGATGGATATCCCGGTTCACGTGCTCTCTGCTCCGTTGTAGACAATGCTTACACACTGGTTTGCTATTGTTCCAAGTGTCTCTTGTTACCTCGTTTTGCTGTTTGGAGTGTGTCTGGTGATTAATACACAGTATTCCCATCCTGCTCTCTGCTTGGCTCCATGTCGGTTAGCTCGGGTGTGTCACATGCTGCTGTAGCCTGTTGTTGTTGTTAAAGGCGAATGCCGAAGTGAGTAGATTAAAGTCAATTAAATCTGTCTTCTAAACTTCAGTGCTCCTGGCCATCCACCAGATTAACCGGTTTGTTAACCGGTTTGGGAGCGGTCCATCTTGGAAAGTCACGTCGGTTAGCCGAACCGTGCAGAGTCGGTGCATATCAACATATCAAGACGATGAAAACCAAGCACGAAAAAGAATAAAAATAGGATGCAAAATTTGGGACCGACAAAATTCCAATTCTATTGTCCTGCGCTACATTCATTCTTCCACCTCTTCTGGCTCGAAAAGCAAGTCATTACGTTGGTCGACGCTTCGGACTGCTTTGTTCCTGATTAACCACCCATTCGCCGAACCATTCGGCCATGTGTACGACTTTCGGAACTTGGTAATTACACGTTTGGGTAGCTGAACTCAATCCAAGCAATTTTAACGTTGCGAAGTTCATGTTCGAATGACAAAATACTAGTACAATGGGCTCAGCAGCTGTCTTTTGTAAACGTAGAATTCGAGGGTATTGTCGACTTTCTTAATCACCACCATCCGTATGTCACTGGATTCGGAGATGAATTCTTAGCTTTTTCTAGTATTTATCGTGTGGCACCTGGACTGTGACTTAGTGAACCCGTGTTTTGAGCTCTCGGTAAGGAATCGAGACTGGTACCATGTTCATGACAGTGATTGAAAGCAGAAAAGGTGAATGTGTATGAACTGAGTATGATTTAGCCATTTCGAAATGCGCTGGCCCGTGGATACTTATTCCAGTAAAATTAAACCACAATCATTGTGCAGCCGTGGTGATAAAGCTCACAAAAACATTTTACGCATATGACACCGTGTCGACAAATCCAGTAGAAGGCTTGCAAGGACGAGTCTTCTCAGAACTTCGGTCAATTTCGTCGTTCATTACCGTCAAAGTGGTTACTGAATCTGCACCGCGGCAGAAAGGTACGAATAGTACGTCGTTCGGCTCTTTTGAAGGCTACTCGATCCGACAGCTTGTAAACATCAGAACAAAGGACTTGTCCAATTCTGCATTCGTGTAATTTCTGAGTTTTTACGTATTAGCGTGGACGCGTGACAACGTTCAGGGATTCGCATTCGTAGGTGACATGATACTTTAAGTCAAGCATAGCTTTAACATACAATCGATTCCTTTTTACCTATTCGTATTTGATAATCCGAGCAACTTCTCTACAGATTAGACCCTATCAACCTGTTTATCAACATGCTCTAACCTGTTGGAAACCTGATAAAGGATGAGGGGCGTTATTAATTAGCAGAGGTAGATTGGTACATGATACATCCGGCTATTTGTGCTATAGATGCAGGTCGTACCACGCAACCATTCTACCGTCGCTCATCTAGCTTTTCACTAAAACGTTTTTTAAATAAAACATCCGTCAAAACAAGTACAGATCTCCTCGCCAAATTAATTCTACCCGTGGAAACGCTTAGTATCTAGTACACCAGCAGGATTAAGTTTCAAAGTGGGTAGCTGTGGACCAGCGAGACTTAGCCCGCCATGCCTCTCAAAAGCGCTTAACTGGCATTTTGCCGAGTTTCAACGACATGGAAAAGCCCCAAGCTAGTCGTCAACGCCACGGTTAAGCATATATAATGCATCTGTGAATGGCGCGACGAAGGTTTCACTATAACTCAGAGAAAGCTTGCTGAAAAAACTCAGCGTGAGCTCGGACTGCTTAAAGCACCGAGACAAGGAACAATTTTCAACATTTTGAAGACTCGAGATCAATATCTTACCACTAATAAAGGTGATTTGGACTGTAAGCATGCCAGTGCTGTTGCATTTGCCGTGGTGGATGAAGCGGTTGCCAATTAGGTACTACAGTGCCAGTCTTAACGGCTCTCCCTCAATAAGAACATGGTCAAGAGCAAGGCAAAGCGTCTGGCTGAGCTGGCGGATATTCCTCCTGACCAGCCTTCGCAGTTTTCGAACGGTTGGTTGCAATCATTTCGAAAGTGACATGGATTCAAATACTTCAAAATGCAAGGCGAAAGTGGCTTCGTCAACAATAAAGATATGTTCGCTCAGCGGCATGCCCTTCGAGCGCACTCAATTGAGTCGCTCTGGCGGACATCTACAATATTAATAAAACGGGTCTATTCTACTGCATGGCACCTGGTAAAACCATTGCCCATCACCAGTCAAAATGAATAAAACTTGTATCACTGTGGCTTTCACCTGTAATGCTGACGGCTCTGACAAGAGTGAGACATTTATCATTGGTCACGCAGCAAAACCTCGCTGCTTCAAGAAAAAGACTGGCGATCAAATCGGGTTTTATTATTGCAGCAACATCAAAGCCTGGATGGCATGTGTGCTTTTTCTAGATTGGGTGCGTGAACTGGATAACGATTTGACCGTCGAATTGTTCTTCTTCTCGAAAATGCTTCAGTACATATTGTTTGTACATATTGTTTCGAATCTGGCGCTCAAGATTGTCACTGTTCTCTTTGTTGAAAACCCTCGGATCTGGCGTCAGGAGCCAAGGGGAGCGCCGATTTGGACGACGAAGGGAAAGGGGTGATAGGTAAAGATAAGCTAGGATATTGCAGAATCTCACTTCTCATTATTTTCTGAATCGTGCACTTCCAACAGGTTATTAGCCCAATGCAAGCGGAAAGAGATCGCGCAAGGACCGCTTCCGATAACGGAGAAGAGAGCATTGCTGTCGCCCGCGAAGATGGTGACAGCAACGCCGGCGACCCCGGAGGGCGACAGGACTACGGAGATACTGCAGCCGCTCCGTGGTGTCGTCGGGCGTCTAGACAAGCTGGAGCGGTCCCAGGTCAAGCTCGAGCAGCCCCTGGAGACGCCCACGAAGGACTAATAATCACGATGCAGCTCGCGTCGGTCTTGAGCCGCGGGTCCAGAATGCACATCGACTCGTTTGGTGGCACGCCGCACTTGCAGACCCGACAGCGGCCCGTAGTACCTCGGGCTGCGCCACGCAGATGTCGGGGATCAGGACCCGGGCTACGGCATGTCGGGGCTGCAGAGGCTTTACGCAGCGGAGCACTCCGAACAAGCTGGCAAAGAAGCGCAGCAAAGCCCAGTGACGACGGCACCAGCACCGCGACAGCCCGAAGTTCAGCCACCACCGCGGCGGAAACAGCAGCAGAACCAGGTCGGGGTATTCCGATATCCGGATGCCCGCCAGAAGAATCTCGCAATCCGTCCGTTCGACGGCAAGGAGCTGTACGTCGGACTGGTCTCAGGATTCTTTGATTGGGACAGAAAATTTGAGCGCAGGTGGCGCTTGAACACTTGAACGCAATGGTGGGGACCCAGGGTCCCACCGGGACCCTGGTGCTCCTAAAACAATCGGAATTCAACGTAAATGTGTGTACTGATATTAAGCTGCTGTCGACTTGGGTTTGGTGGAAAAGAGCTGGAGAATCAACAGTTGGTTCGCCTTCAGCTGGGCCTTCTTTTTCTTTGGACGGCCAGGTGCTTGCTTCGCTGATGCGTGAGCTGGTGTGTGGGGTCTTCTTCGTCTAAGTGCACGGCAGCGTTTATTATGGACTACGGATTCACTTCTGTCAGGATCTTTCTGCCGTTTACCCTTCGGGATTGTCGATTGGGTCCCCCCCCCACGTCTTTGCATACTGGTTCTTGATACACGATTTCGTGGAGACGCGCAGCTGAAAATGAGAGCCCGTCTACTCCCAGGAATTGGTTTTGACCTGCACGAGCCCACTGCATACGTCAAGGCCAAAAAGGAGGCGGATCTGGACATCTTCCTGCGCCTGCCGCGCGGAATAGTGATTTCAACGGACGTGCTCAAACGTCTGAGTGTGACAGACGACAGCGAGGTGGTGCTGGAGTTGCAAAAGGCCACGTACGGCCTCAAACTAGCCGGTCGGCTCTGGAGCCAGCTCTTACACAACACCCTGCTAAACTTGGGTTTCGTGCGGAGTCTGATCGACATGTGCGTCTACTAAAGGCGCCGGGAGGGTTTGCTGTTGGTCGTTGGTGTGTACGTCGACGACCTGCTGGTTGCGCGACAGCAGGCAGTTCTTCGGCGAGGTAAAGGAGCTCTTGATTAAAGACCTCGGGCCTGCGTGTAAGTTCCTCGGCATGCGAGTCGCGTACGACGATCTATAGGGCTACGACTTTGACCTGGGGTTGGCCATCGAGAAGAGGTTGCGCGAGCATGCGATGATGTCGGTGCGCATCGTGCGCCACCAATTGGCAAACGAGTTACTGCCCACGTCTAAAGGAGACGGCGTGGCTACAGTACGCAAGTTTTAGTCACTTGTAGGGAGCCTGATGTGGGTGGCACGTGCACCCGACCCGACATCGCGTTCGCGGTCCACAAGGCGTTGCGACGCATTAACAGTCCTCCTATGTCCGACTGGAAACTCGGTAAACGCATTGCGTACTACTTGGCGGGGCCCAATGGTATGATGTTGAGTATGAAGGGTCAAGGCGATTTTGAAGAGCCGCTAAAAGCCATCGCGCTCGGCGACGCGGGCTACGCAGCCGACAAGGCGAATAGGAAGTCGGTGGTCGGTGGCCTGCTCGCAGTCGACGGAATGTCTGTGTCTTGGGTCTGCAAAAAGTAGACCGGCGTCAGCCTCTCCATGATGGAGCCTGAGTACACTGCAGCCTCGGTTATGTTGCTGGGTGTGCGCGAGCTGCTTGGCGAGCTGAACATCGCGCATGCCAGCCGAATGTCGCTGCTCATCGATAACCAAGCGGCCCTCAGGCAGCTAAACGGAGAAGCCTCATCGCGTAAAGCGAAGCATGTTGATGAGCGGATAAAGTTTGTGGGTTCGCTCGAGAAGCGTGGGGTACTCAAGGTGATGTATCTCGAAAACGAGAAGATACCAACTGACGTTCTCACCAAGGTGGTCGAGGCGCCAAGGCGGTATGACCTGCGGGTCATCGTAGGGCTTCATTGGGACAAGAAGAAGGTCGCCGCTGCCGGCGATGAGGAGTGTTGAAAAACCTCGAATCTGGCGTCAGGATCCAAGGGAGCGCCGATCAGCATGACGTAGGGTAAGGGGTGATAGCTAAAGATAAGCTAGGGATACTGTAGAATCTCACTTCTCATTCTTCTATGAACCGCTCACTTCCAGCACTCTTCCTACCACAGAATATTTCTTCTCGACTGCAACCATTAGCCGAAGGCATAATTGCCTCTTTCAAGCGACGATATCGCCGCCATCAGCTGGACCATGCGCTGGAGTTTTTAAGAACAAGGGACGCAAATGGATATTTACAAAATTGACCAGCTCTTCTCAATGCGACCTGTTGGAGGGAGGTATCTACTGAGTGTATCCTAAACTGTTTACGCCAAACCGGTCTTGTACCCGGTTGTACGACGTCACACCGCGCATTGAAAGAAGAAGAAGAGCTAGTCAAGGCTCTGGAGAAGCGCGTAGCTGCCTTGAGAGTACAAGGTCCAATGGATATTGAAGACTTCGTGTGCAATGCTGTAGAGCAAGATACTGAAATGGATGATTTACTATATGATTCTGTCAACCTCGTATTGCTGGCGTCGGTACAGAAAGACCCCGAAATAGTCGGTGAGTATGACAGCGAAGAGGCCGAAGAGCGCGAACACTAAGACACACTGTCGACCCAAATGTCTCTTACGGATAAATCTTACGCTTTTGATCGGTGATATTCCTTCTAGCAGAGCATCCTGACGTAGAAGCTAGCATTCTGAGCAGCCTACGTGTACTTCAGAGCAGAGTCCGAGACGATCTACAGGAAGAAAGAGACGTTGTCTAAAAGCAAACGTAGATCCGGGCTTTCTTTAGAGAAATGTTTGAATAACTCACAAAAAGTGTACTAGATATCAAATTTGGCAGCAATTTAATTTTACGCATACTAAACAATTGGTGGACACCTAACTGTATTATTTAAAAAATATATTTTTTCTCAGCGATCAATTTGGCAAGTGTAGACGCCCCCCTGAAGAATCGTATCTTGTGCCTCATATACCCCTTTATATTGGATCACATAGATTGAAGGTACGTTTGACGAATCTCAAGATTGCTGTGATTATCAGACGGTCCGCTACGCTTATTGAGAGGACTGCTGTACTAAAACCTCAGGAGCAGGGATTGGTATTAGAATCGAGATTATTAAGTACTACAAATAACATTACTCAAAACAATTATAGCAGTAGTTGTTACAATCACCTAGAGCTACCGGTATGATTACTAATAATGGAAAATATTAGCTAAAAATAGGGCGAAATATTACTAAGAAAAGCTAAACTAATAATTTGAAGGAAGCCTGTTTCAGCTGTATTATAAGCGTATACAGGATCCCCTTTCCATTTCAGTCGCTCTTCTACATGGCAAGACGGGCCACTGTCATAAAAGGTTGGTTGCTCGCTGATAACTTTGCTGGAGACGGCACCAACACCCTGGCCGCACTGGAGAACGCATCAAAAACACCTTGTTCTGCAGGATAACACTTAAGGTTTGTTTTGACTTGGCATTTGTAGGAGCAATTACCCGGCTCTCCTGTAGAAAGGCATTATATAATGTAAGAGGTCGTTACCAACCAAGCGAAGCGTGGCTGGTAGATTAATAGATTCTCTCACCTAGGAAGTGCAATGCGCGGCTCGCTGGTGAGCTCGGCGCTGGGCCCGCCTCCGCAAATACCGCGCGGCCCTGCTTCGCGGGCTCCCCGCGCGGGATTTGCTGCGCTACGCGACTCGCACCCGCTCGCCTTAGTGGCGGCATAGCTGCGTCGCCCTCCCCGGAA